TGTCTGAAACGGTATAGGGTTTCCTGCCTAGACAGGGGGTTGGACTAGAAGACCTCCAAGGTCCCTTCCAATTCTGCTTTGTTTTGTATTGTATAACTTTTATACAGTTTATACAATAACAGCAATTCTGGACATGAATACCAAAAGCAGACAAATGATTGATGAGTGCAAGCTGCAGTATAGCTCACAGAACAGGAACTGACTTTTTAAAATAAATCTTATTAAAAGTTTTAAAGAGAACTGGCACTTTAAAAGCTGAGACATATCAGACAGATATTTAAATATCAGAGAAATTTGCATCTCAAAAGACTTAAATGCAGTGAGATGCTTTTTAAAAAATGTTGGGGAGATTTAATAATTAACTTATGAAAGAAACGTACAAAACCTTTGTATGTCATTTCGTGTTGCAAATACATTTTTAAGCTTTTATAATATATAGTATAGAACTTACAAAAGCAATAATTACAAACATGAGACTGAAAATCAGTGGTGGGTTGCTCCCAGTTCGGCCCGGTTCGTCCGAACCAGTAGTAGTGATGGCAGGAGACCCCGCCTACCCACCTGGGTGCTTCTGCGCATGCGCAGAAGCGTTGTGAATGCACGTGAGAGTGCCCGAACCGGCAGTAAAAATATTTGCCACCCAACACTGCCCAAAATGTATTCTATTGACTCCTAAAGGGTGTTCTTAGGGTACATATCTTTACTTTTAATCATAATTCTCCTATTTTCCAAAACTTCTCCCCCCTGCATTCATACCCACACAACCCACACAAATTTGTTCAGGAGAAAAAGTTGGAATATATGTACAATGGCTTTGCACTAACACATCGACACTGTCTATTAATCCAGAAGTGCAGCTCCTACCTAAAAATCAGAATTATCAGGCATTTGCCTGCTCCTTTTGTGGAGATGGGGAGGGAGATGATTCAATAACACAATGAGGCTTTCCCTCAACATACGTATTTCAACAGTTTTCATTGGAAGGGTCCTTTTCCAATTTCATTTAGATATTGGGTTGTCATATCATACTTTAAAATTTATCCTGTTACATACAAGGATTTAGGAAGGTTTTCTCTGCTGCCTGGTCCAAACCAATACAAATGTAGCCACTTACCTGAAAAGACAGACAGTTGATTTGATATTTCGGAAGAAGAATAACTTGAGGTTCTTCTTTGCAAAAAGAGTAACGTCATCGGAAGAGTTTCTGTTTCTAAACTCTGGTAGCCATTAGAAGGAACTACAGCATGTCCTGCTAACTTCCAGAAACCTCAGAGACTGAGGCATAGAAGTAGCACTAGCACAACTTTTCTGAAAAAGATCACATGTCACACCACACAGGAAATTGTTGATTTGATGGCTTGTTTGTTTAACTTGTGTGAGGGACATCACAAAGGGGTGTTTGAAAGAAAAATAAATGAGGAAGGCTGAAGAAGGAGAAAGGAACAACTTTCACTGAATGAGTAACTTTTGGATGTTTATGAACAACAATTCTTATTTTATGCAAAATATTAGTTAATTTTTTTCTCACATACTTCCTCATCAGGACACAGGGCAGATCTGCATTTCTATTTATGTCAGCATGAACAACTTCCTTCCTTATCAGTAGGACAGAGGGCACATCTGCACTTCTATTTAATTCAGCATGGAAAACTCACTGTTGTCTGAGCAAGGAATGGCTGACAGCCTCCTTCTACATCTAGCCCATTGCAGCTGTACTCGTTTTTAGGGGACTGGAAGCTAAAACATATGAAGAATGGTTGCAGGAACTGGGTATGTCTAGTTTAATGAAGAGAAGGACTAGGGGAGACATGATAGCAGTCTTCCAGTACCTCAGGGACTGCCACAAAGAAGAGGGAGTCAAGCTATTTTCCAAGGCACCTGAGGGCAGGACAAGAAGCAATGAGTGGAAACTAATCAAGGAGAAAAGCAACCTAGAACTAAGAGAAATTTCCTGACTGAACAATTAATCAGTGGAACAGCTTGCCTCCAGAAGTTATGAATGCTCCAACACTGGAAGTTTTAAAGAAGATGTTGGATATCCATTTGTCTAAAGTGGTGTAGGGTTTCCTGCCTAAGCAGGGGGAGAGGACCTTCAAGACCTTCCAACTCTGTTATTCTAATTCCAATACTTTTCCATCTTTGATTCAAAATGGCTGCTTTCCAACTGCAACTGTTTTAAACCCTCCATAATTAGTGGTCTCCAGTGCTCTTATCTAGTTGATTGCAGTGCCTTTCACAGCCCTTCCTCTCAATGAACTGGTCACTATCCTGTACAACTGTCGGATTTTAAACGGCTGTGATGTTCTTCACTGCTCAACAGCCCCCATTTTCTTTACACTCTTAGTTGATCAACGTTGGCTTAATGCCATTGAATATATCAGCACTTTGTGCCCTCAATTCTTATTTTATTTTGTCATCTTTAAAACCTTGGTCCTATCCATTCTTCCTGGTTCCAAATTTTCAGGGGACCTAAAGATAAGGTGACCAGATTTTCAGATTGGTAAAGAGGGACACCTTTGACCGGGGGCGGGGGAGGCCTTGATTAAAAATTTTATATGGAGCAACAAAAATTTTCAAACAACGCAAAAATAGTATTGTAATTTTTTTTAATTTCAACATAACTACAAATATAAATTGTAACTGATAAGTTAGTAACATGACTTTGTCAAAAGGTGATTATATGACCCCAGGACACTGAAAACATCATAAATACGAATCTGTTGCCAAACATCAA